CAAAACAAGGCATATACAAAATTATTTCTCAGATAAGTTGGACTTTCAGGAAGCTGGGAGTTTGTTGAGTTTTTACATACTTGAGTTTGTACCTTTCAGTATTTCAACAGTACTTTATGTTTGTATGTTCTGAATTAAAAAAAACAAAACCCTGGCTGGGCACGGTGGCTCACGCCTATAATACCAGCACTTTGGGAGGCCAAGGTGGGCGATCACAATGTCAAGAGATCAAGACCATCCTGGCCAACATGGTGAAACCCCATCTCTACTAAAAATACAAAAATTGGCTGGGCTTGGTGGCGTGCACCTGTAGTCACAGCTACTTGGGAGGCTGAGGCAGGAGAGTCACTTGAACCTGGGAGGCCGAGGTTGCAGTGAGCTGAGATCTCACCACTGCCCTCCAGCCTGGCGATAGAGCGAGACTCAGTCTCAAAAACAGAAAAAGAAAAGAAAAGCAAAACCCTGCCAGTTGTTAGGAGATGGAAAAAGAGAAAATAATTTTATCACTCTGTGGAATTTGCAGTTTTATTTTGAAGTTTTTCACATCTCCTTTAAAAATTATCTATGTCACCTTATAAAGAACTCTTATTTGTAACTGAGCTTATTAGACAGTCTTTACAATTGTTGTGTAAGACTTTAGTGCCCTGCTTTCTTTGGCACGTAAGAATTTGGAGTGTACCCATGACTCATCAATTGATGTTGTGGTATGTTTTTAGAAACTAGGAATGCCATAGTAGATTTCCCTTAAGTAGCAGTAGAGGAAGTAAATACAAGAAAACACCAATTTTTCTCTTTCTGTGCTGGTGTGATTACAACTGAATATTAAATTGATTCTTAAAAATGAGTTATAACACTGGACATTTCAAAAAGCTTTAATAGAATATATATAAACTAAGTGTCTTGCAAAAAGATTCTTAAATGTAACAATATCTTACATTTCTAACCATTTTTGTGATAGGAAATAACTTTGCAGCTAAATATGAGACTTAATATTTAGGTTTGTGTTTTACTTATTTACTTTTGAAACAGAAATGAAGCAGTAAGGAAAAAGCATTATTTTAGGCATGCAGCTTCATTTTTAGTGCTCCATAAAATTGTTATTTTTGATGTGAAGATCTTGTTTGTGTACTTTTTAAATTTTAGTCATGTATGTAAGGACCAAGCTTGACTGGTTTCTAATTTCCACTTTTTTTCTTTTCATGCATGCTCCCTTGCTCCTGCCATAAATATACTTCCATATGCAGGAAAGTGTATCTGTTCAGATAGCTACTTCATGAAAAACAAGCCTGAGGTGAGCTCTTCACCCCAGCTACCTGGTTCACCTAGAGTTGACTGCTATTAGGTTTTTTTGTATATCTTTCCAGGCACATTTTGTGTGTATAAACTCATGTGTGTATCTATATATTAATACATAGATATTTTAAAACTCATACTGTTCTGTATCATGATTTAAAATAGTGCAAAGTTTGTTTTACTTTGCGAATTTTTTTTGAAATTTAACTTGGTCACCTTTTGTTTGCTGATCCCACCTTAATGATGTTACCTTAAGGAAAGTGTTTATCTTTTGAAAGACATGTGGGCATTATCATACAGAGGTTTTCTTTGTTGGATATGATTATGGGCAAAATGATTATTTTGAGCTTTTTTTGAGCTTTTTTTTTTTTTCTTTTGAGCTACAAATCATGACCCTGTTGCTTAATCCTTTTTCAAGGGAATGCTGAACACAATAAAAATTAATTTGGTCATCTTCATCATAACTTAAAATAGGATATTTACTAGGTGGCTTTGGTGTAGCAAATGTAGCACAACCATGGACTAAAACCTATTTGAGACACTAATTCTGCTTAAAAGCTTAGTTATTAGGGAATTTTGTAGTACAAATTGTGCTTAATTAAAAATTATTTGTTTAACACATCCGTTTGCTTATTGGAAAGATCTTTGTGCATTTTACAGTGTTCATCAAGTCTGCAGATTGTCCCTTTACAGTTTTAATGTTTGTAGTGGACACTGTTAGACTAGCTTTCATTTTGAGAATTGTCAGGTGCATCAATCTTGTTCTTCTAAAAAGGGGTGTGGGAAGGTGGTCTTTTCCTTGATTTCAATTACAATATGATGTTAGATCTAGAGGGGAAAAAAGGTAAATTGTTTTCAGTAATTAATGAGTATTGCCATAGAAGGTTTTAATATTTTCAGTGTTACATTGCTTTTCTTTCTGTTGCGAAATTTAAGTGGACAGAATTGTGCAACTGCCAATATTAATCATTGTAATAACTGCCATATGTATGACTGCTCTGTGGCTCTCTCTGAGTTAGGAACTTTAAGTTTCATTCAGTAGTTAATTGTCATAGTAATCCTGTAAGGTTGATATTTTGCATTTAAGGACTGGAGCTCAGAAAGTTTCATAGGTAATACACAATTCGGACAAGATGGTATGATTACATATGATTGGAAACCAGACTTTGATCTAAAAGTTGTCTTACTCTTTACTGTACCAGGGTTATATGAAAAGTTAAAGTTTTGATAGAATCATAATTGTTTTCTTTCTTCTTGGTCAAAAGGACTTTAAAGATCATTTTAGTTTAACCTACATAGCTGGCCAACTGCTTCAACTTCTTCGACGTTTAATTTTGGTTACTGGTCTTCAAGCTTATGTAGTGAAATGTTTGGAAGGGTAAGGGTGTTAAAGAGTAATTGCAGAGACTGGACCCGGAAAAAGCATATAATTACCCTGACTTTTGTAATAGGCTATCAGCAAGAACTGATTTTATTAAATCCTTCTTGTGATGATACTTATCTAGTGAGATGTTTACCTACATGGTTCTGTGTATTCACTTCATATGGTGTTTTCTTCAGAAAAAGTAAGGAAAACGTTTCAGAAAAACAGCAAAACAAATTGTTGCATTGCAGAGTGGTATGAATAAGATAGGTGTGTGTTAAAATGGCAGTTGGACATCTACTTTTTGGTGGAGGGAATACGTAATAGTCATTTTTTCACCAATTTGAAGTTTGTCATTGTAAGATACAATGACATTAAGGTAGTTGGGAACCATTTCTTAAAACTTTGTGGCCCATTGTTGACATTTGTGTAGAAGAAAAGTCAACAATAAATATGTAGGGATTAGCTGCCCCTCGACAGGTAAGAGACTGCCTAAAAAATGGGATCTGGCCGTGAAACTGCTTATCTGTTCTGGCACCACTATGGCTTCCCTAAGCAGCTGTTGTTAGTATTTCTTTGTCATAGCAGATGTCTGTTTACTGATTTGGACTGTCACCTGCTGAGTTCTATAATGGTATCGATTACATAAGCATATTTTATTGAAAAATGTCATAATATATCCAAGAGTGATTTGCTTGTTTCTGGACAGTTGTGCTGCTTTTGCAAGCTAATTCAGAATGTGCAATTGTACCAAGGTGTATTGCTTTAATTTTAAGGTGTGGCATCAGATGCTATTCTTGGTGCCCCAGATCTTAATTAAAGGACAAAGTTTCAAGATGGAATTATGTTAGAAAAGGTGACTAAGTCATTTAGTATAGCAAATGAGAATTCGATTTTAAAGAGAGACATTGACAGTGTTCTTTTTTAACAAATATCTTTCAATTTATATTATTGATCTAAATTGTAGGTTGAGCCATAAATTGTTGATATTATTAAGTAGTAAGAGCTAGAAAGAAAAGTTAGTATTTTGATACCAGTTTCCTGAGCAACAGTGCTAATATTTGACAGCATAATTATTTCATGAGACACTGAATGAAAGTGTAGTTTAAATCATGTGACTTCTTGAAAGTAGAAAAAATTTACCTAAAAGTTATGTATAAAATTTATAATATTGTAATTTTTCTTAATATTGCCCTATATCTTATGTACCTCAGTTGTTTTTGTGCTGTATCTTACAAATAGATTCAACTCAAAAGTAATTAAAATGTTAGTTAATCACATGCAACACAATGGCTAAAATTAGACTGACAGCATCAAATGTTGGCAAAGGAAATGGAGCAACCAAAGCTTATACATTCTTGTTAGGGAAGTCAAATGGTACAACTACTTTGGGAAAGGTATGGTGGTTACTTATAAAACTAAGCATCTATTTTCCCTGGGACTCAACCCTTCTCTTAGGTATTTACCCAAGAGAAATGAAAACATATGTACGTAGAAGTTCTTGTTGGTAATCACCCAAAACTGGAAACAGCCTACTTGTCCATCAGTAAGGGACATGATACAGTGAGATACTGCCAAGTAATGGAAAGAAACAGATTACTAATATATACCACAGTATAGGTGTATCTCAAAAACATGCTGAGTAAGAGAAGCTGTACCCAAAAGAGTACATACTCTATGTTCCCATTTAGAGGATACTCTAGGATAGTCAAAACTAATTGATGATGGAAAGAGTATCAGACCAGAGGTAATAGGGATTGAGATTGGCTGAGAAGGGCATTAACAAAACCTGGAGTGATGATTCTATTCTGTATCTTAATAGGGATTTGCGTTCCATAGTTGTAGTATTTATCAAAAGCTTAATTCATGTACATTTAAGATTTGTGCATTTTACTTGGTGTGGTGGTACATGCCTGTAATCCCGGCTACTTGGGAGACTGAGGTGAGATGGTTGCTTGAGTCTGTAACTTCAAGACCAGCCTGGGCAACATAGGGAACTTCAGTTGATATGCATACTGTCATATTTAGAGAGAAGAGTACTGATTTACACAATTTACTTTGAAGAGGATGAAGTGATAAAACAAGGAAGGATGAGGAGTTATGTGACAAAGCACATACAGTTAAATCTTCATGGTAGACTTGTAAAACACAAGTGTTTACTCTGAAAATGTTGAACTTTTTAGTATGTTTGAAAATGTTCATAGTAAACTGTTGGGAAAGCCAGGTGTAATGGTTCACGCCTGTAATCCAGCTACTTTGGGAGGCTGATGTGGGAGGATTGCTTGAGCCCAGAGGTTCAAAACTGCAGTGAGCTGTGATTATGCCACACCACTCCACCCTGGATGACAGAACTGAGTTCGTGTCTCTAAAAATAAATGAAAATTTTAAAAATTTTTTGGGAAAATATTAATTGATAATAAAACTTTTCATTGTCTGTTCATGCAAGATGTATTCTTTTAAAAGTTTATTTTGTTCCTCTTTGCTTCAGTGATATTCATCTATGAGCTTGTGGCTGAGAATTTTTGAGAACTTAACTATACTGTTAATTATACCAAATCATAGCCTTATTGGAGGAGTAAAAATTTAGAGAAGTGTCATTCCAGTTTATTAATGTAATGGTCTTTCTTTAGGGATGTTATCAGTTTTCTCAGCAATGTCTGCAGATAGAGTGTTATAAATCATGTGGCTTCTGTGGAATTGCATCACATGTTGCTTATATAATGCCCTTCTTCTTTTTTCTTTAACGATGGGGAAGAGGGAGAGAACAGTAAACATTTCTTAATTTCAGGTACTGCTGAATGTGGACTTTGGAATTAGATGGACCGGAGTTTGAATCCCATCCCAATCACTGATAGCCTAGTTGTTTTTAACCCCTTGGATCCCCATTTTCCTCATCCATAAAATGGTAATGATGATGGTAACTACTTCATAGGTTTTGTTGGAAAGGTAAAATGAAATACTGCTTGCAAAGAAATTAGTGCAGTTTCCAGCGTGTAGTAATAGTAAGTAAATTGAGCTATGAAGAAATAGTTAAATCACTGGAAATGGACTTTTTAAGACTCTTCCAGGTTGTTTATCAAGCGAAACAATCAAGTAATATGCTTAAAGGAAGATAAGGCATATACTGGGCTTAATCAGTGTTAAGCCACTTTATTTAGTCTGTGTGATTCTGAGGAAGTTGACTTGATGCCTTGTTGCAGAAGTGACCCAGGTCTGGCTCATTAAAGCATCACATGTCCCTGGTTACCGTGATTCTTCAGCATAGGTACATGACCAAGCCAACCATTTGAAATAGGAAGATGTAATTCTGGGGCATTTGTTGGCAGTATTGTGAAAGCAAAACAAGGAGTCTGCCCCTAAAACTGCTGGGAACTAGCTGCCACATGAAGCCTGAGAATGAACCCAATTCAGAGGAAGCAGAGTTGGGAGAAAGCCCTGGGTTAGTCATTCCTTTATCTTATTTTATACTTAAGCCAGTGTCCATAAGGTTTTACACCATTTGCAGCTGAAAGAGTTCTACACACAGTTGCTTACGCAGTATATTATATGTTAGTGTTTCTTACCGATTTCTTTACTAATTCTACAGTTATATTTCTGTATCATATATACTTTGCTTGTATAGTGATTAATCTACTGATTAGATTTTATGTTCTTTGAGGAAATGACTTACTCCTGATATTCATGCTTTTCATCCCCATTGGAATATCTGTACCCATGTTGTCCAATACAAGACACTAGCCTTATGATGACGTTGGGTTTGAAATGTGGCTAGTCCCAATTGAAACGTGAGGTAAGTATAAAATGTACACTGGATTTCAGAAACCTAGTATGACAAAAGAATGTGAGATTTCTTGATCATTTTGTGTCATTGGCTAATAAATGTCTTTGTACTAGACTAAGCTCTATGAGCTCTCCAAAGTAACCCTATCCCCCAGCGCAGTGTCTGGCATGCAGCAGATAACCAGCACATATTTGTTAAATGAGTCATGAATTTTCTGGTACCTAGCGGATGTGCCTGTTAGTTATGTGCCATGCTGGTTAACTGATAGGGGAGAACAAGATAAAGTGTTTTTTTTAAATGTATTTTGCTTTACTCTTAGGTTTTCTTCAGCTGGGCTGTTTCCATGGAAACAGCAACCCAAAGATTTTTAGGATTGGTGTAATGCTCTTTAGGTGATATTTGCTGCTATTGTTAACCAAGACCCACAAGTTTAAGTATTAGATGAATGTTTCTTGAGTTTGAGATCTAAAATGTGAAAGTTTGTTTCTAATCTAATTTAGTAAAAGTTGTTAAATATTTCCTTTTTTTTTTTTTTTTTTTGAGATGTCTTGCGCTGTTGTCCAGGCTGGATGTGCAGTGGTGTGATCTTGGCTAACTGCAACTTCTGGTTCCCGGGTTCAAGCGATTCTTCTCCCTCAGTGTCCCGAGTAGCTGGGATTACAGGCACGTGCCACCATGCTTGGCTAATTTTTGTATTTTTAGTAGAGATGGGGTTTCACCATGTTGGCCAGGCTGGTCTCAAACTCCTGACCTCATGATCCACCCACCTCAGCCTCCCAAAGTGCTGTGATTACAGGTGTGAGCCGTCACGCCTGGCCCAATATTTGCCTTTTTGGGGTGCCTTTGAAGTTCTTTCCTTCCTTTAAAATAATTTGCCGGAGAGTAAAAGAGTTGCCAAAGTACAGGTGCCGTTCTGTTCCTACAAGCTACCTTTGTTGTTAGTTTTACTTTATATTGTCTATTCCTAACTTACTTTCTAATGATAGCTTTGTAAATATGGATTACTAATTGACCTTTACCTGGTTAGAACATAAGTACATTGTAAATAAGTGTAAATTCACTTATATAAATGTAATTTGTAAGTGTAAATTCACTTATACAACATAAGTGAATTTCTTTTACTAGAATCATGAGTTCAGATTGCAATGAGGATGCTAGTAGATAAGGATAGAGGCAGTTATATCCAGAATTGTTCATATTATCTAGAGCCATTGGCAAGAAAAACCAAGTGGGATTCCAGATCTTGAGGCACTGATTTACGAAGTTGTGGTCAGTGGCCTTAGAGGACAGTGTTGTTCAAATGAGGAAACAAAGCCTCCTTTTGGTATCTGTATCTTAATGCCCTAGGAGAAAAGCTTTAAGCTTGGTTAAAACATTTCTGTATAGACCCCTTTTTTTTTTTTTTTTTTTGAGATGGAGTCTGGCACCGTCACCCAGGCTGTGGTGCAGTGGTGTGATCTTGGCTCACTGCAATCTCCACCTCCTGGGTTCAAGCAATTCTCCTGTCTCAGCTCCCAAGTAGCTGGGACTACAGGCGTGCGCCACCATGCCTAGCTAATTTTGTATTGTTAGTAGAGACAGGGTTTCACCATATTAGTCAGGCTGGTCTTGAACTCCTGACTTCAGGTGATCCACCCGCCTCGGCCTCCCAAAGTGCTGGGATTACAGGTGTGAGCCACCACGCCTGGCCTGTATAGACCCTTTTATATACAAAGGTTGCATTCAAAGCATTGCACAAATTTTGTGCCCCATGACAAATGTAAGTGAATTGATAGGCAACTCAAAATTTGAGATGCTACTCAGTTTCATTCAAATTGATGTTCATTCAAATTGATTTTGATGCCCGAACACAGAAGCACATAATTATTTGAATTTTGTGGATATAAAAAATTGTGTCAATTTTGAAGCCTCCATTTTATTACCGTAAAAGTTAAAAATGAAAATACGATATTGTGGAAAATTTTTTGTGAGACTAAGAAATGAGGTCCATCTAACATTTTGGCCCTCATATAGATGGCAATATATGTTTTCTTCTGGAAAGTATCCTCCCTGATGTTAACAATAGAGGGTAACTTACCCTTGGATCTATCATTCACTTGTTTATGTAAATATATATGTGTGTATATGTACGTGTGTGTATGTATATACTGTACACATATATGTTATGTGTATATTTTGGTTTGTGCAGCCTAATCATATTTATTATACTTTAAGCACTAAGTACAGTATATACTTTAAAAATTATACCTCTGGAGTCGGACTGCCTGATTTGAATCATGTTGTCATCCCTTCTAGCTTTGGGTCTTGAGTATTACTTACTCTCAGTTTTCTTATCTGAAAAATGGGGAGGAATGTGAGAATAGTATCCAACTCAGTGTTATCGTGAGGATTAAATCTGTTAATTCTCCATCTCAGTGGGTACTATGCCTGATACATAGTAAGTTCTAAATAAATGTTAGCGGTTGTAATTCCCTCTCCAAATCTATTCCTTTTACATGTCAAAATTGACCCCATGGGTTATGTGTATGATTTTGTGACATTAGTCTCATCCCTTTTTGTTTAATAACAAAAATCCTAATATTCTTTGTCCTGTGTTCTTGTTTTTTCACTTCTAATTTTAGTGGCCTACGTCTCAACCTTTTTCTAGCTACATGATTTTTTTTTAGGTAATTGGACTTTGATATTCTACCCAGATGTGGGCTATAGATGTTTATCATGTCTTTTTTTTTTTTTTTTTTAACAGGGCCGAGACACTTACCCTCCTACCCCTAAGTGAGGTACTGGAATGAGCTGGAAGAAGCTTTGTAGATTGTTTAGCATAGTGCCCCAGTTTTTCAAAGCAGAAGGTTAGGGCCTGAGGCTGCAACTCCTAATAATGATGGACATTTGTTGTAAATTGAGAGACATTTTATTTCTCAACAGAGTACAATTTGTAGAGTAAAATAGTAAATGGATTATTAAATTTTGCCTTTTTTGAGATACCAGGAAATTCTTATATTTATGAGAACTTTTGAATTATAGGGAATATAGGTATATTTTGATGGGAAATATGAAGAAAGTTCCCTTATAATTCTCTTTTCTTGGATATATCTATGCTGTTTATAGTATGCTAAAACCTTTTCTTACCCTCTTATTCCTCTATTTTAACATTTTTATGTCCTGAAATTTGCTCAAATCCATTCTCCCTTTGACTGTTCATAGTCATTACCTTAGTTCAAGCTCTCATTAGCAGTCATCTTGGCCACTGCAGTAACTTTCTGTTTTGCCTTCCTTCATTATTGCCGTAACTCCAATGCCAGAGTTACCTACGCAGACACATGGATCTAGTGACATCATTTCTTGACTCAGGAACCCTTGCTTTCTCTCTGTACATCAGACCATCTTTTCTGAACATCCACCACCTCACATGCATATACCCACACTGAGTGCATCAACTATTTCTGAACTATCAATTTTTGAAGCTGTTGTTCCTTGTTCCCCATAACTGTCCATTGAGAGTCCTCCTATTGTTTCTGAGCCAGTGTACTTCTCCAAGAAACTTTTCCAAATTATTGCAGGAGAAATTACTCTTTTCCCCCTATACTTGCGTAACACTTTGTTTCTTTTATTCCACTTGACCCAGATATCCTTATATTGGATGTCTGCCTCTCCTGTGTGTCATAGCAGGACTTATAAACTGCTGTCTTTCTCAAAGTATTGGCCTGATTGAGTGCCATTTTTATTGTGAAATTAGGAAGACATGGTTTCGGTGAAGTTGGCCATCTACAAAAGGACAGACTGATTTCTGAAAAGCATAGGCCTTAGAGGTTTTTCCCTCTAGTAATAATCTAATGATAAAGAAGTTTATGATTGAGACTAGAGAAAACAGGGAGGCTAACAGAAGCCTTATTTTTTTGAGGGGAAAATGCCTACTTAGAAGCAAAAGGCAACCTTCAGAGAAGCACTCTCTATTAGACACTTATGCAGGTAGGTTAAACTTTACTTAGAGACATCTATCTGTATGTTATGACATTGGGCATATACTGAGAAAGCCTCTTTGTTAAGTTGACTCTATTCAAATATATTTCCTTGGCATGTCTTAAAGGTCATTCCTTTAATGTTTAGCTTTGTCTTTTGTCATGGACAAATGTCCTTAGACAAAGGTAGTATATTTTCATAAATCATATGCAGTTCATTTTATTGAGATTTTCTTACAGATTTTGTGAAACATTTTGTTTGGAAAAGGTGGGTAAGGGTAGAGAATATAATATTGAAACAGAGGAAAGGAAGAATGAAGAAAAAGAGAAAAAGTTAAGAAAATAAAATTTGCTGAATGGAATTGGTCTAGGGCTGACTATATGTGTATGTTTACACATGGGATCCTTTTCTGTTCACTATCTTTTCTGTTAGAATTCGTTTTAGAAATAACAGTGACTTGGCTTTTTTAAAAACAAAGTTTATACTGATAAACGATGACTCTGTAAACAATTATGATTTAATACTATATATTTGTTTACATCTCACTCAACAGAGAATGGTCCGTGTACAGTTTGTATAAGTTTTGATGGATTTTAACTTTTTATAGTTTGGGTATGTTTTATGGTAGTAAATGACAAAATGTACATATATTTTATGCATTCTTGACATACCTTTTTCTTAATTTTTCAATATCTCTAGGCTATACTGTGTGAATTTTTTCAAATTGTCATGAATCTCCAAATAATTTTCTAATAAATTCATTCTAAAAAATCCACATATGAGTGAACCCATGCAATTCAAGCCTATGCTGCTCAAGGGTCAGCTGTACCTGCAAAAGATGGTTGAGCGCCATAGATATTTGTGTTTAATTCCCTGCACTGAGGTCACGTACTTTGTTCCTGTTCTGAGCCTCAGCGTTGGCTTCCTCTTAGCATATGGTTCCTAATAAGTTCGAGTATCTGAATACTCAGCCTACAGCAGATTAACCCACAGCAGATTAGCAACAACAACTCTAAGTATGTTGTTGAGGGAGCAGGGAGAAGAGAGGATGT